AACCCAAAAATATTATAGCAAAATATCGATATACAAATTATGATCTCGAACATAGTATACACTTTTGGCTTAGTAAACAATTTTAAGTTTTTACTTAGAACAATTTTAACAAACATATATAAAACAATGTTTATCCTCATAAATAAATGCTTTAAATTATTTTGTTAGATAACGATTTCACTGAAATAAACTTTATTTTGTTCAAATTATAAAAATGAATATGCTTTTTGGAATGCATTAAAGCATTTCCCACTCGCAGTTTCCACTTTGGTGGGGTCTTCCCCAAAAAGTTTCCCAGGCCGCTTTCCTCAAAGCACTCACGCACACAGCCATGCGGGTTGGGGCCACATGTTTGGCGGCTTTTTCGCTTTGACATAATCAAAAGCAAAGCGAACTGAACCGAACCCAGACCCAAACCAAAACCAAAACGAAGCGAGCAAATGACGCGACGATCCCCGAAAAAATACAACAAATACTCGAAAGCGGCAAAGAGCGGCGGTGGCGGTGGCGGCGTCCACTCAAAGCTAATGACCGACAAAGCGTTTTGTATTATTTTCAATTTCATTTTCACTATACACAAACTATTCCCCTGGCCCCCAGAAACCCCCACGGCCCCCACTTTTCACCCTTCCCCCTTGGTGACAACCATTTTCGCCTCGGCCTCGCCACGCTTCGCCTTGCCGTGCATTAAATATTATTAAGATAAGGCGGGGGGTTCGCTTATCAATCAGACGTCAGAGGCACCGACCCTCGTATATATAATTTGCAAAGAAGAAGAGCCAACAGGGTTCTTCCATCAGAGTTATTGGAACAAACTGGCACCCGAGACTCCATAAATATTTGTTTAGAACTTGTTTTCCCTTTCGCCTTTTGGGGGAAAGAGTGTTTGGCTTGGGAGGCAAATTAAATAGATATTTAACATGCTTTGGTTAGTTCTTTGATTTCTTTATGGAAATGTTAAGTGCTCAGTTTATTTATCTAAACACAGCATATGCATTTAAATTATGAGATGCATTTTGTGACCCTTAGGACCTCTGTTTCGTGGCCATTCATTTGTTTTTAAGAGCCCCCTATCGAGGCATAAACTTAAGGCCAAAAGTTATGGCAAGTGGGAGAAAGGCGAGATGGGGGTCGTGGTATTTGCCATTCAGCCCAGGTCCAGCATAATTCCGAGAAGCGACCCAAGAGCCAATTGCTAAATCAACACAAACAAAAGCCGATGACCAAAACAAAAACCCCAAAAGTCATTACATATATCTTGAGTAACCCCAGCCCCCGGGAAGCCTGCAGAAATGCAGAAGCTACGAGCTAACAGCTTTTTATCTTTTGGCACAAGGCGGCTCGGCATTGTTTTGGTTTTGGTTTTGGTTTGAGTTTTGGTTTGCCAGCAGCCTCCGAAAAACCAGTCCATCGAGCTGGACCAAAACCAAGACCAAAAACCCATCCGATCCGATCCGATTCGATCCAAACCGAGCCGAACTGAACCGAACCGGCCATATAGGGTCGCTGGCATGTCGAAAGGCAGAGCGGCAACTTCCTGGCTAATATTACGAAAATTGCTTATACCGGGCTATTGCCCCTGCTCCTCCTCCTGCTCCTCCTCCTCCTCCTCCTCCTCCTCCTTCCCCTTCCCCCTCTACTCTGTCCACTCCCCGCTCTGTGGATCAGCCAAAAAGTGCCAAGTCAAAGTTGGTGGCTGCAGCTTGAGTTGGAACCCCTTTTCCCGGACTTCGGGACGGGGGCTTTGAGCCACGGCGCGGTTCGAACCACGTTGCTTTCGGCCTGTCATGAAGGCAATGGATGCAATGCCGACGCGATTCGCCTGTTGCCTTCTACCGTAATTCACAACAACCACAACCATAATAATAACAGCAACGGCACGGCATCGAAGAAAAGCCAAGGCAAAAGTTGTGAAGCCCGCACAAGATACAGTGGTTGCAGGACGGAAAATAAATGCAGCTCACTCAGAATTGTAAATAAATAAAAATAATTTAATTGAGAAAGACAAGGTTAATTTTAAAATTAAATTATTGCAATCCCTTTCTCTTTAGTAAGTAATATATGTGATTTTTTTTACCTATTACAAAAAAACATTACGTAAATAAACTACTGTTATGAAATTATGAGATGCATTACAACTTTATTTAAGCAAGTTCCTAGGTACAAAGAACACTTATTTACTACTTTAAACGGATTTAAGGCCTTCATAATTTCAGTTTCTCATGCATTTAGGTATTCAAAGTAGCTACACCTCATCTGCAAACTACACCACCACCTAAAGTAGGGTTTTGAGTCCGTCCTTACGTGATGTCTATTAAATCGTATTTAATCTGCTTAAGATCCCCCGAACCTCAATAAACCAGCAGTTTCGGTTTCGTATTTTCCCTGCACATAAGTACCCCCGATAATCCCCATTCAAACACACATTTTCGAACCACTGTGGACGGCCTCTGGTGCCGCGCCTCAAAGCAAAAAGCGCATCTTTTGAACAGAGCGCAAAGCGCAGCTTGGCAGTCGGCGCGGTGTGTATCTCAAAGATACAAACAGAGTGCGCTCGCTGGATCGCCGTTCCTCGGTCCGTCCGTCCGTCTTTCGGTCCGCCAGTCCGCCAGTCCGCCAGTCCGCCAGTCCGTCCGTCCTTCTGTCGATCGTCGTTTGGTCTCTAAACCGCTTTTGTGTAGCCGCTGCCGAGATGTTTGGCATAGTTGGCCTGGCCGCGGAACTGGTTGGCTGTGGCTGTGGATGTGGCTGTATCTTCGAGATGGAGTTGGGGAGTTTCTGAGTTGTGGATGGAGGTGGAGATGGCGATGGATGGGGGATGGGGGATGCGGAGGAGAAGGGGGAGCTTGCAACAACTCTGCCGCCTGCCGCTCAGTTATTATTATTTTTGCTTGCGGCGGCGGCTCGACGACTTGCTGCCGCTGATGCCCGATGTTATTATTGTTGTTGTTTTATCAACGTGAGGGTTTTAAAAGGTTTTTGTGTATGAGTCGGTCGGTATCGGTCTTGGCCTCGTAGCAGCTGCTGCTTTCTACACAGGAAACAATTATAAATGAATATATAGTAGGGTTGGGAATAAATAATTAATCTATGTTGCATTAAAAGTTGATCAAATCAATACATAGAATGGGGATTTATTAAATAAAAATATTACTATTTCTTTATTGATAAGCAAACGCAAAAGAAAATTGTTTACCTATGTCCTTAAACTGTAGATGCCTTTGGCGAAATTTAAATGTGAACAGAATACACATTATTATAAAGAAAATATGTGAAACTACAGATTTTTCTAAGATTTTAATTGCCTTAAAGCCTATAGGCCTACTTATTGAACTATTTTCTCTCCGTGCAGTCCATCAGCAGCGGCAAACTCCACCTCCATCGCGCCATCGACTTGCCTTCGGTTTTACCTGCAACAGGTAAGAAATGTTCGTACGTTGTTTTTAAACGGCGTCGGCATTTCAATTCGCTTTATTTTCATTTTTTGTTCCACTCTCTTCCCGTTTGTTGTTGTGTAGTATTTTCGAGGCTGCTTTCTTTGAAGTTGCATACTTCGGTGTGCCTTTGGAGGTTTCCTTTGAATTCCCCCTGCATCTGTCAGCAATTAGTGTACGGGCCTTGTCGTCCTGCAAGGGTTCAAAGTGTTGGCCTGGCATTTAATTGGCGCAGACCAATTGCCAGGCCAGCCGGAGAAGAAATCTCTCTCTGGGGCTTCAGAGCCAAACAGCAACAAAACAAAAAAAAACTCGAGAAAAACAAAGGGGATGGGATGGGGCCCCAGAATATTTCCGATGAATTTGTGGACAGAAAAACGAAACCCAAGGAACATTGATTGATTGATGTTCCTTCAGCGATTCGGACATCAACGTCGCTCGCTTGGCAGAAAGGTCGTCCGATATTCCGTTTCCAATTCCATTTCCAATTCCGATTCCGATCCCACTTAGAGAACAGAATCGGACCCTGTTTATTTACGTTCATGATATGCCATAGAGTATACCCATGACTAAGGAGGCGATCTCCGAGCAGCAGCAGCAGGAGCCAACGCCAAAGCGAAACGCTCTATTGATCTGATCGCGATCGGATCCCTTCGCTTCGATCTGTTTCCAAAAAATTCTATTTATTTTCCATGGGTCGCCGTTTCTTTTGATGTTCTGCAGTTGTGTTTTTCCTCTTGTTGTTGTTCTTCTTCTTCTTCTTCACCCTGCCCGACTTCTCGTTCTATTTTTGTGTGTCGTTTTACTACCACTTCCATTCTTCTCCCCATTTTCCAAAAGACCACAAGCGAACGGCTGTGTATCTTCTAGATAAAAATGCAGCCGGGGATTGCCTACATTTTATTTTCAACTTTTAGTTGTTCGGCGTAATTATTGGAAAAGGATGTGGGAGAAGCCCTTGACTCAATGAATTCTGAATGGTGGCTATGTGTTTGTGGAAACGGCCGTGTGTGAGTGGGTGAGCAATTGTTTGGGAGAAGGTAGTGTTTTAGATCTTCGAACCAGATATTTCTATGTTAATGGGAATGGCCTTCGATAAGAACAGGAGGTTAACGAATAGGGAAATAATCTGCGTGAATTAATGGGTTTAGTTTTGGATGAACGCTGTTCAGGGAATTTTACTTATTTGCTATTTTTAACCATTGGCAATAAAATACTTTCGCAAATCATGTTTTAGTCCCTGATCACTACAGGAAATTACCACAAATGTTGCCATAAACAATGTTGTGAACCCGACTTATCCACCTCCCCATTTAATAACTCTAATCCGTACATCTCTAAGCAATTAATAACCCATATTTAAGGAAACTCCTGACGCACTTAATCTTTTAATTTAATTTACTCGGGAATTGCCAACAAATTGTTTCCTTGAATGCTATCGCCCGCAGTTGGCCAGTCCCCGAACTTTGGCACTCCCCAAGAGCATTAACATCCATCTTTTCCATATCTGTTGCCAACTATCTGGAAATTCACTAAACAAGTTGAGAACGCTTGGCTTTCGCTTACCTGAGAATTGTTTGTAGCCGCCGAGAATTTTATGCTTCCACCATTTGACAATGTTGCCCGCCATCTCTGCACGAATATATATATATATGTTTCTATATATAAGTTGGTTGAGGATGCAGTTACTTGGCGGTGCCTTGGATTTTTCGGTGTTTTTATTTTTCGGGTGGTGATGGTGGTGTGGTGGTTGGGTTGGAAATTTACGAGTCCTGGGAGGAGGAGACCTGCAGCAGCCCGAAATGTTTTACGGCCTTTGTGTGTGGGTTCTGCGCTCCCCGGCTGGCTATCCTTTTGTGTAAGGATCTAAGGACTGAGACTAATATACTCCAGGTAGAAATCCTCCACTTCCACCGTGTGTTTATGCGCTGCCGCTGGGCGACCTTAATTTGTATCTGGTATTATTTTCGACTGTGCGGGTGGCAAAGTTACCGGTCGTAGTCGTAAAAGTTTTTACAGCTCTGATGTGCTGCATTTTAGTTTAATTTGCGCATATTGCGCTGCTTTATTTGATCTACGTGTGTGTATCTTGCAGATACTCGTACCTTTGTGCCCGCTGCGCGCGTAATTTTAATTGTAAAACATTTTCGCCGACTCGATTTGTTTTTCGCCAGCCGTTTTGTTGTTATTTCGCCTTGCGACGTAAATAACTTGGCGTATAAACAACAAAAAACAACAACAAATGCGAAAAGGCAAAAACACGATTTATTTCCAAACGATTGCGACGGCGACTGCGAAGTCGATTTTCGGGGGTGGCGTACCGGTTGTTTTTATTATTGTTGCGGGGGCGGTTTTTCGTTTTTGGATTTTACACTTGGATTTCCTCTCTGGCTAGAAAACTTCACTTCGCGTATCTCGCAGATACATTTATTCATTTGACCGGTAATAATTTTAAATTTCGATAGTAACTTCACTGGGCCACAAACAATTCATTCGGTCGGTCAGTAGTTGTTTTGGTGGGCCAAACTACGCGTATCTTCCAGATACTTTCCGCAGTATCTCGAAGTCTCAGCTCACACGTCTATTCGAATTAACGGACGAAAACAATCTGAAACCCCGACACATTCGAGAATCGCCGACACAGTGGTTGGGTGTTCGAAATTCGAGTGGCTCTCGTTCGGAAAATAAGTTTAAGGTAGGCTCGTCGCCTCTGTTAGTCCGTTAAAAATATTTACAATGAGTGCGAGCAATAGAGTGTATTTTCCAACCAGTATGCTGTGCATTAAAATTACCTTTCATATTACATTGGTTAAATTTTTTGTTTAAGTTGTGATTTTCTACAGCCCTGTTGGAAAACCTTATTTGCACACAAGGGTTAATGTTCGAAAATAAAAACTATCTGCACACAACTAAACTAAGTTTAAGTTAATAATAAAATATAAAATACCTCAAAAAATAATAAATATGTATAATACATTTTTATAAATAACATGGATTTTATCAATGATACACAGTATTATTAACAATATTAAACTTAACAACTTGGTATTAACATTTAAAACTTCTTAAATAAATAGTTATGTTAAAGGGGTATAAAGGAATATACCATTTTCATTCATATTATTAATATCTCCTAATAAATGTGTTCCCAAACTAAATGATAAGGAAAATAGTTAGTCTCCCTTTTAATATTGCTGATATTTTAAAGTTGATTAAAACCTTGTTTTTTAAAGTAACGTGCAACGGGTACTAAACGCTGAGAATTCAAAAAATGCAGCCTGTTAATTTTATCGATATTTTAAACTGATATTTTTTAGTATTATAGTTATATTTTTATAAAACGCAATTATCATCGAAACGATATTTTAAAAATATTCGAAATCCAACTCTGAACGTTAAGGGACTGACGAGATTACCTTATACTTATTCTACCATGGCTCGGACTCTCTTTCGCTGCGCTCTCCTCTCTTTCGGTTCGATATTCGAAATTGACAATATAAGGAAGGCGAGAATTTTCTCCAAGTGTTGCATTGGCAGTAGTTGCAAAGAGACAGCTGTGAAAACCCAACAAAAACAACCCAATGTGTAAGATGTGGTTTTGTTTATTTAAGAGCATTTTCGGCGGCAGTTTCGCGCTCTTTTGGGCTGTGGCAGTGGTTTTCGGAAATATGCGTGGAGGGTATGATGGGATTTTGAGCTAGTTTGCTTAATTAAAAAGACTAAATAAAAGGTAATATTTGTTTATTATATATTTTTTTTAAATGATTAAAGTACAAAATTTTGATTTTAACCATTTAATGGTAAAGGTCCAAACAATGGAATAGCAATATGTATTTAAATTTAATTATTCAAATCAATCTAACTACTGATACTATAAATTGCTATACTAATATTTTAAAATGTATAAATTCCATCGCCTTAAAGCATTTATTTTTCTATTTTTTTAAGTCACTTTTTTGTAAAACACATTTTTCATAAAACACTTTCTTAAATAAATACCCTTCAAACTTTAAAGCATTAAAACACAACGTTAAAAGAATCCGAAATAAAAAGTTTATAAAAAAAGGAAAGCTTATTATGGAGTTTGCCTAAATTAAACTGATGCTGACTACAAAGTATCTAGCAGAGGATTAAGCTGCTTAAAAAAGAATTTTCAATCTCAGTTTGAATGTTTCTAAGTATTGGCTGCAAAAAAAGCAATTGTGCCAACAACATCTTCAATTGCAGAGATTGCCACGCCTTAACTTGAGAGCTTTCTTTTTGCCTTGCACCTTACCAGTTTTATTTCGACTGGTTGTTGCTCCCTCCAACAGCAATTTTTGATTATACACATGTTTGGATAATACCCGGTTTTAATTTGGCTCTATGCATAGCCGCTGCTGAAAAAAATGCTGATTGTTTTTAAATTTGATCCCGACCGCTGCCCCTTCCAGTTTTTGCTTCGCAGAAGAAGCCGCCTGCTGAGCTTGAACATCAGGGCAATTACCTACCAGCGACCGAAAAAAGTAACCCCAAACCCAAACTCAAAACCCGCCGATAATAACAGAGCAAGGAGAATCCTGAATTACGCTGCGGAGAGCTGGCAAGGCAAAAAGAAGGAAAAACGCCAAGCTCTTTCTTTCTTCGGCGATCGAAGGCAAGTGGAAGGAACCCGCGGATCGAATCGTCTCGTCGTTAACCCTTTAAAGTTATATGTGGCGCAAAGCACTCTGAAGTAACTTATTATAAATTAAAACAATATTGGGTCGACCAAATCTTCGATCGGCATAGTTTACTCTGCTGAATCAGACATTAAATGCAGTAAGGTTGATCTCAAAAGGAATGATATAAATAATTAATTTACGAAATCACGCAAAAAATTCAGGAAAAAGTTTAGACAGCTAAAAACGTCAGAAACTTAAAAAAACATAAGTACAGAAAATGTTAAAGTTGAGTGTTAAGTTAGGTGATCAAATAGATTCTACTTGGGGCATTCTGGCCAAGTTCGTAAGGGGTTAAACTTGGCCCTCGGGGGTCCGCAGGCTTCGCACCGTAAAACGTTTTCGGCTTTCGGTATAATGGCGCTGTAATTGAAGAAGAACACGCGATCGAACGGAGGGGAAAGGAGGGGAGAGGAGAGGAAAGGAGGGGAACAGAGGGAAAAGGAGGGGAAAGGAGAGGAAAGCAGGGGAGGGAAAGAGAGGGCTGTCGAAAGGGGCTACAAAGGCGGCGAGGGAACCTCCTTCTAACAGAAGGGTTTCGGTTTGAGGTCCCTTCTTCTTTTTTTGTGAACCCTCTTCTTTTGGGCTGCCTTCGTCATACATTGATCCACCGTCTTAATTTCAGGAGACTGCGCCCCATCTCCCCCGCAGCCCTAACTTTGTATGCGGGTTCCAGATTGATGTCGGGGATCTGTCCGCCCCGTAGCCGATATTGATTTATGTTTCTCCGGTTTCGCATCCCGACCCCTGCACTTTGTGCTGTCCTGCTGGATTTCGCACATTCAATTGGCAGCTTTGCGCTTGACAAAAGTCGGTGTACAGGCTGGCTGCAAATGTAATTACCCAAAAACGAGTGCAACATGTCTGGCGGCCTGCTGCATTTTGGTGGGCGGCGGTCATATACGAACGGCTATATATAGGGTTTTTGACATTTGCCCCAACGAAGAACGAACACTGAGTGACGGCCATGGCAACTGTCGCTGTAATTGACAGGGAAGCCGTATTGGATTCGCTCTGTGTCATTTTCCCTCGCTTTTCCCCAGCTTTTCTGCCCCTGCCGCACAGAAAAGTCCCTATCTTCACACATATTGGCAATGCTGATGAGTTTTTGAAGGGTTAGACGAGTTTAATCGGGCTTTATGCGGCGTGTGTGCCGGCATTAGGGAGTTGATTAGGTTAGGGGGGTCATTTTGGCTACAGGAGATAACCATAATTGGCTTGTCTAGAACGCTGTTAAAGGAGGAATATTTTGTAGGTCCATGGCCCAGTGTTAATCGAAAATCTTGATGGGGTTCCATTTATTAAATTAAAGTGTAATTAAAGTGGTATCTATAAAGTAATTTTTGATTAAAAACCATTTTGTGTTCAATGACAAATATATTACGAATAGCACATATCTTAATAAAGATATATTCATTAAGTAGTACATACAAATATGTTATTTATTTTTCATGGAAAACTCTTGGAAAACGTTTATTTATTTTAACTTAAAGCTAATAAATCTTAATTTTATTTATTAAGATTCTTAGTACTAACTAAAATGACCCGAATAATTTAGAAGCTATGTGCAAGCAATTGATTATTTTTGTTGTTCAGATTCTACTTAACGCTCAAAAAAAACAAAGCGATGATACACTCCGAATTTTCCAAATATTTTTAGTAAGTTATGGGGCGGCCATAAATTAGATAAGCCGATATATGTGTTTCTCAACTTGCGTCACTCTGAAAGCATCGCTGGATCGTTGTTGAAATTCATTAAAAGAAATATATATTTTCAGTGATCAGCTCGATGAAGAGTTTTAAAATAATTTTTTAGAAGTCATAAACACACACAAAATCAAATAAAAATCATATGTATGCCGGGGCATCGTCGTGTACATCGTGAAACTATTAAATAAATTAACTTTGTTGTAAGTGCTGGTCATAAATATTTATATTTTATAGTATGTTAGTCGTAAAATTCAAATGAAGTTGTCCCCGATGATGGTTGATGTGTGGGTCGCGTTTATAAACAAATTTCGAAAGCAATTATGAATTGTAGTTTTTGGCATTCGTCGTCTGACGACTGACAGGAAATTATGTATATTGTAAGGCCATAAAAGTGGCAGGCCCAGAGAACCAAATGAGCCCCCAAAGATATCTCCAGACCCTTCGTAACATGTGCAACAGGCCTTTTGAAGTCCCCACCTCCGGCGCTCAAATGACTTTTACCCAGAAGTCGTTAAAAAACGACGAAAATTTCCAATTAATTTTGATAAACGCGGGCCCACAACGAAAAAAATAAGAGATGCATATTGGTTCGGACTGAGGGAAAATTTGTTTGCTGCCCAAAGCGGAAATTGTAACTGTGCATTGATTGGAATCGGGAAAAGGGGATAGGCAGTGCCACCAATTGATGCTTATTAGGCCGAAATCATTAAAAATCTATCCAAACAACAACAACGACGAGTCAAGAAATTGTTGTCTACGAAATGAAGCCATTTCAATCCGCCGTTTTATGGGTGTTTTTAGGCGCTTTTTGCCCGCCTGTTTCGACTGGATTTTTACGATTTTACATTTACAAGAGTCCGCCGTCCATCGATGTCCGTCAAACGATTAGGCCCGACGTATACACGTATATATAAATATGTGTGTTGAGTGTGTCTGTTGTGCCGGGGGTTTGGTTTCTGAGGGACTTAATGACCACATTAATGATGCCAAAAACATGATGGGAAGCGATAGATTAAATGGCAGCTATAAAAGCGATTAAGCTAAGGGGAAGCGGAGGGCAGTGGGTGGAGTTTTGTGGACTTTGAAAATTCTTCTCGAGCAAGATGCATCTTTGAAGCATCTTCAAATATCTCAAATAGAAAAAATAAGATATTTTCTCAAGTATTATAGTATTTCCAAGAATTACATTTAAAGAAGTTTATATTCCA